CAAAATGATCGCTACTCATATTACTCGTTACTATCGGTCATGATTGTGCTCTCTACATTGATGAATGTGCAGGCCTGCGTAAAGGACTGTGGAAAGCCCCTCGCGTGCACTCGCAAAGGAACAATGACAATAATATTATACGTCGTGGTTTGCAAGCCTTGCCAACGCTGCCGTTGTTACCCAAAACAGTTAAAAGGCGAGCGCAGCCTGTGACGATCCCGTTTGTGAGGCCAGCTGCTCTAAGGATGTTTAAAGCTGTGGGAATAGGGACGAAACAAAGGAAGAAATTGCACCGTGAAGTTTGCACTGTATCTGTTGTGGAAAGCGGCAGCGACAACGAAGTTGACAAACAAGCACCGTCATGAACTTCTTGTTCGCTTCTTATATCTATTTTCAGAAAGGCACTACTTGTATGGAAGTCTTAGACATACCGTTGTTGTTTACCTGTGTGTTTGTATGCAGTGCCTGACTGGTCGTTCAAGATTCCTCTAGCAACGCAACCCCTCACTGAGGTCGAGATGCAGTATGTTGAAAGGGTTGTAAGGACCGATGAAGAAAACGAAGAATACGACATTGTTGTTTACAAGGGTGACTGGAAGGTGGAAAAGAAAGACATTATGCTCATCATTGAAGCAGGACGATGATTGAATGACGAAGCCGTCAATTTGTATTTGTTGGCAATCCAAATCGACAATGATAATGCCAGAGAGAATTTGATGTCTAGAGGACAGATTAAAGACGAGAGTTCGAAGGACATTCCATCTGTGTATATTTTAGATTATTTTTTCTATGTCAGGATGACATCCGCGACGTCCAGAGAAATTGCTTACTGTGAGGGAATGGAGTGGGTTAGGAGAAGAAATATTTTTGATTGTAACTTTGTACTTATCCCTTTGAACTTTGGAGACCACTGGGATTTGGCATGTGTTAGAATAGACGGTTGCAAGTGTGAATTCCAGCTATTAGACTTTCTCCCTCGAGGCGACCGCCTTGCAGCGCTGGAAATAGTAACCGCATTTTTTAGAATGGAGTTCAGACGTCTGAATCTTCATGAAAGATATCACGTCGACGATCTTGCGACATCGTTCGAGACATCACTTGATGGGGTGTCTGTCCAACATGACGGTGGCAGTTGTGGTGTTTTTATGTTAGGTTTTGCATCTTTGTTAGCGAAAGGTCACTATCCACCATTCGATTTCTCGCAAGAGAACATCCCGTATATGAGGCCGAGAATAGCATTTGACATTTTGTCGATGGTCGAGCATGAGTGAACATTCCAAATATGCAGAGTTTGATATCATTCAACACTTTGTTGATGGTTAGTCATAGTTTCAAGTGCTATGTGTCATTCGGCACTTTGTTCATAGTTGAGAATAGTCTCAATAGTTTGTGTGTCATTCAACACTTTCTTCATGGTTAACAATAGTTTCTATGATTCATATTGCTTTCCACAATTCTCAAATGTTATTGTGCAAATAACATATTGCTTTCCGGAATTTCCTAATTTTATTCTGCGCATGACGTATTTCTCAATTGCCAATGCTAAGTTCTCACCATTTCGCCTTGTTTCATCTCTATTTTCCTCATTTCTTCCTCTCTTGTATGTGTTATTTTACACTTGAAAAAAAAGTGAACATGAAAACAATTTCACTTTTAACGAAAACACCGTTTTCTTCTCCTTCTTCTTCTTTTTCTTCTTCTTCTTCTTCCTCTTCTTCACCCTCATCTCCCTCTTCTTCTCCTTCTTCCTCTTTCTCTTTTCTTCCTACTCCTCCGTGATCCTTCACCTACGTTCTCTTTTGATCTTCTTCTTCATCATCTCTCCCTCCGTAGGAACTTCCCAAGGCTTAAAGTAGGTAGTAGGAGGCTTGGTCACTAGTGATGGCCTCCTCATGGTTCATTTTTTCACTCCCATGTGAATCGTCACTTCCCTCCTTGTGATTTCATGCATAAGAGTGGGTTTTCATCACTCTCATCTCACTTTCTCTCTATTTCTTCATTTAGGAGCAAATCGCAACTCTTGTTTATGCTTGTTCTAGTGTTTTAATGGTGTAAACCTCTTGTTTAGTCAATTTCTTCACTCCCATGTGAATCGACACTTCACTCCTTGTGATTTAATGCATGAGAGTGAGTGAAACTCACTCTCTTCTCACTCTCTCTCCATTTCTTCACTTATGAGCAAGTCGCAACTCTTGATTATGCTTGTTCTGGTGTTTTGGTGGTGTTTTCCTCCTGTTTGGTCCATTTCTTCCCTCCCATGTGAATCGTCACTTCCCTCCTTGTGATTTCATGCATAAGAGTGAGTTTCACTCAGTCTCCTCTCACTTTCTCTCGGTTTCTTCACTTATGAGCAAATCGCAACTCTTGTTTCTGCTTGTGCTAGTGTTTTGATGGTGTTTTTATCTTGTTTAGTCCATTTCTTCACTCCCATGTGAATCGTCACATCCCTTCTTGTGATTTCATGCATGAGAGTGAGTTTCACCCACTCTCCTCTGACTTACTATTTATTTCTTCACTTAGGAGCAAATCGCAACTCTTGTTTATGCTTGTTCTAGTGTTTTGATGGTGTTTTCCTCTTGTGTAGTCCACTTTTTTACTCCAATATGAATCGTCACTTCCCTCTCTGTGATTTCATGCATGACACTCACTCTCCTCTCCCTTTCTCTCCATATCTTTACTTAGGAGAAAATTGCAACTCTTGTCTATGCTTGTTTTTGTGTTTTGATGGTTCCTTTCACTTACCTTGTTCAGTTCTCTCACATAATGATATTCCGTTTCACTCTTGGTTGCTTACATGAGCTTCATGCATATGTTTGAGCAAGTCTCACTCATATGTGTGACTCATCTCTCACATGATGATGTTCCGTTTCATTCTTGGTAACTTACATGAGTTTCATGTTTGTGTTTGAGCAAATCTTACTCAAATGTGTGACTCGTCTCACACTTGATGATGTTCCGTTTCATTCTTGGTTGCTTACATGAGCTCCATGCATGTGCTTGAGCAAGTCTCACTCACATGTGTGACTCATCTCTCACATGATGATGTGCCGTTTTCATTCTTGGTTGCTTACATGAGCTCCATGCATGTGTTTGAGCAAGTCTCACTCACATGTGTGGCTCGTCTCTCACATGATGATGTTTCGTTTCATTCTTGGTTGCTTACATCGGCACCATGCGTGTGTTTGAGCAAGTCTCACTCACATGTGTCACCCATCCCTCACTTGGTGATATTCCGATTCATACTTGGTTGTTCCACTACTGATGTGCAAGACTGATGTGCAAGTGTTCTCACTAGTCACACTCTCATTTTGTTAATTTATTGCACTTGGTGATTGTCCGATTCGTGCTTAGCTGTTCCACTACTCATGTGCATGTGTTCTCACTAGTCACACTTCCACTTTGTTAACCTCATGCACTTGGTCATAATCCGATTCATACTTGGTTGTCCCATCACTCACATGTGTGTGTCTCACTAGTCATGCTCTTACTTTTTCAATTTCATGCACTTGGTGATTGTCCAATTCATACTTGGCTGTTTCATTACTCATGTGCATGTCTTCTCACTAGTCACGCTCTTACTTTGTCATTTTCTTGCACTTGGTGATTGCGCGATTCGTACTTGGTTGTTTCACTACTCATGTGCATGTGTTCTCATTAGTCACACTCTCATTTTGTCAACCTCATGCACTTGGTGATAGTCCGATTCATTCTTGGTTGTCCCATCACTCACATGCATGTGTTCTCACTAGTCACGTTCTTACTTTGTCAATTTCTTGCATTTGG